AACAATCTGCTGGTATGGTCGGGAACTCCACCCCTCTATGGCCAATCTTCCCACGCAGCTGAAACAAATCAGGAGCTGATGAGCTGAAGGTTTGGAAGGGAAGAGACACACTGAGAGGGAGTGTGTGGGTGGTGAAGAAACACAGTCTCCAACCTGGGCTCTCTGGAGGACAAGAGTGCTGCACGTCCACTTCCATGAGGAATATAAGGATTTGGAGATACTTACCTTTGGGGAAATACTCACCTTTGGATATATTCGCCTGTGGAAATACGGGAGAGACATTTGGAAGGACTTTTTGCTGGGTTGGCCACTAGCTGCAACGTGGACTACAGTAAGGCTGGGGAAAAGTTATCTGAGCGAGTGAGAATTATGATTTTGGATGTGGAAGAGACATCCCTGAACTGTTAACCCTTAAAGAGCCACAAGAGAACAGAATTTGGTTATATTTTCGTTAATTTCCCAAGACCTTTAATAAAATCCTTGTTTTGTTTGAACCTTGTCTCCTTGCACTACTTGAGCAATCCCGCTGAAAGCTGTGTAGCCTCTCGTGACGTCACAATATCTACCTCTATCACTCCAGTATCCCTGTCACCTTACCCCTATACATATCTATCTCCATCACTCCAGTATCCCTGCACATTGTAAATATGGTATTGGAACTGACCCTGTATATAGTCACCTTACCCCTATACATATCTACCTCTATCACTCCAGTGTCCCTGTCACCTTACCCCTATACATATCTACCTCTATCACCCCAGTAACCCTGCATGTTGTAAATATGGTATTAGAACTGACCCTGGAACTGACCTTGTATGTCGTTTCTTACTTCTCATCCTTTTATTATTTCTTATTTATATTCCTCGAGTGTTTTTGTTCTACCTTGTGTTATTTTTATGCTTCATTGTTGAGTTTAGAGCTTGCAAGAAAGGCATTTCATTGTACTTGTGCACGTGACATTAAAACTTTAATTGACTAAATAGGATAGTTCATCCAAATGTTTCATACTTCGTGTCCAAATGATCCTAATGTATCTCAAATTGATTGTGTAACTCAATTAAGTTATTTATTGATTATTTGGACATGAAGCACAAACAAATTCTAATATTGGGACTATTGACTTCATTTTGTAATCTGGCTGAACTACCCCTTTAAATATAAACATTTTGTGGACTCTCTTTACCAAATTCATTTGTTTTTGTTTTTCAGAAATGGTGCAGAAGCAATTTGATCATTTGTCCAGAGAGAGCTTTAAGAATTATCCTTATCTTCAAATGTTCTCAACGGTAATTAAAATAGTAAATTGTTAAGCACTCTGAAATGATAATCTTACAATTCTGTATTCTGTGATTTTAGCCTGAATTGGAAATCTTACGAGGTTAGTGGGACTAGCAAGAAGGCAGGAAAACATGAGGAAAAGTTGCACTTAAAAATCACATTTTTTTAAATGAGGAATTCAAATTTACAGGTTGTCCTTTGTAGGATTGTAGCCTGAAATGTTCGGAATAAAACACCACAAGATACTTAAAGCATGTCGAACTTAACTTTTATCTGAAACATTAACATTATACTGCCTCTCTGCATCCAAGGTTCTTCATGTGCTCATGATATCTTAATCTTTGTTTAATCTCATAGAAAAAAATTGAAAGAATCCAGGAAAATCAGTCAAAAATAGTGAAGGAGAGGATCAAGGAGCAGTTTGAGATGGAGATGCAGGTCTACACACAGGATGAAATCTTCAACAAGCATAATCTTGAGGAGGGGGAAACAACAGACAACTCAGAGCACGACACCAGGAGAAAGTACCCTGAGCTGCTCAAGTCATACTATGAGGTAAAATGCAACACAAGTACTGTAAAGTATGTTTTGCTTAAAGAGAGTAGGAGGAGAAGTTCCAGAAATAAAATGTAATTAACTAAAACCTGCAGCTGGCAGTGCCTTGCAAAAGTATTCATCCCCAGTGGCATTTTTCCTATTTTATTGCATTAAAACCTGTAATTTCCATTGATTTTTTTTTGGATTTCATGTAATGGACATACACAAAATAGTCCAAATTGGTGAAGTGAAATTACAAAAATAACTTGTTTCAAGAAATTCTAAAAAATAATTAACGGACAAGTGGCACGTGCGTATGTATTCACCCTCTTTGCTATGAAGCCCCTAAATAAGATCTGGTGCAACCAATTACCTTCAAAAGTCACATAATTAGTTAAATAAAGTCCACCTGTGTGCAATCTAAGTGTCACATGATCTGTCACATGATTTCAGTATATATACACCTATTCTGAAAGGCCCCAGAGTCTGCAACACCACTAAGCAAGGGGCACCACCAAGCAAGCTGTCACGATCGTTACAGGAAGCGGACCAAGGCGCAGCGTAATAAGCGTACATACTTTATTTGTACTGAACACGACAACAAAAACAATAAACAACGATGCGTGACGTCCTGAAGTTATACACAACACAAACCTTAACGGAACAAAATCCCACAAACCTGAATGAAAAACAGACAGTTTAAATATGGCTCCCAATCAGAGACAACCAACGAACAGCTGACACTCGTTGCCTCTGATTGGGAGTCACTAAGGCAAACACAGAAAACAACAAACCAGAACCCCCAACATAGAACCACACCACATAGAACAAACACACCCTGGCTCAACAACTAGAGTCCCATAGCCAGGGTGTGACAGTACCCCCCCCTAAAGGCGCGGACTGCGACCGCGCCTCAAAAAGAGCAAAACAGGGGAGGGTTGGGTGGGCATACCTCCTCGGCGGCGGTTCTGGCTCCGGGCTTGACCCCCACTCCTTCTCTAACCCCCCAAAGTACCCCTGGTCCGGTCTGGCCCTGCTGGCCGGAGCTGGACTGAACACTGGTGGAGCGGATTGATCTAGCTCCGACGTTAAGCCTCTGACCGGTGCCGGACCAGCCACCGGTGGAACAGGCACGGGCCGTGCCGGACTGACGACGCACACCACTGGCTTGGTGTGGGGAGCAGGAGCGGGCCGAGCCGGGATGTCGAAGCGCACCCCTGTCTTGGTACGGGGAGCAGGAACGGGCCGAGCCGGGCTGACGAAACGCACCACCGACCTGGCGCGGGGAGCAGGAACGGGCCGGACCGGGCCAACGACGCGCACCACCGACTTGGTGCGGGGAGCAGGAACGGGCCGGACCGGGCCGACGACGCGCACCACTGACTTGGTGCGGGGAGGAGGAATGGGCCGGACCGGGCTGACGACGCGCACCACTGTCTTGGTGCGAGTGGCAGGAACAGGCCGGACCGTATTGGGAACACACACCACTGGCCCTACGTGGAGATCAGGAACAGGCCGGACCGGACTGGCAACACACGCCAGTACCTCTCGCCGTGCCTCTACAACCTCCTTCCCCCTGGTGACCAGTGACTCCCGTAACCTGGCGTCCTCCTCTGCCAATCTGCTGGGCCGCTCTGCCGCGGTCTCCTGCTGGCCCGTCGTCCACGGCGTTAGCCCCCCCCCTAAAAAATTTCTGGGCGTGTCCCCTACCCGTGGACCAGGTCTCCATGTCCCTCGCCAGCCGTTCGCCCTTCTGCCACAAGGTCAAGCCCTTCTCTTCCTCACTCGGCTTGACCCAGTCGAGGAGGCGAAGGAGATCTGTTAGGGATCTCCCTGGCGATGGCTCCTGGACACGCTGCTTGGTCACATCTTGGTGGGATTTTCTGTCACGATCGTTACAGGAAGCGGACCAAGGCGCAGCGTAATAAGCGTACATACTTTATTTGTACTGAACACGACAACAAAAACAATAAACAACGATGCGTGACGTCCTGAAGTTATACACAACACAAACCTTAACAGAACAAAATCCCACAAACCAGAATGAAAAACAGACAGTTTAAATATGGCTCCCAATCAGAGACAACCAACGAACAGCTGACACTCGTTGCCTCTGATTGGGAGTCACTAAGGCAAACACAGAAAACAACAAACCAGAACCCCCAACATAGAACCACACCACATAGAACAAAAACACCCTGGCTCAACAACTAGAGTCCCATAGTCAGGGTGTGACACAAGCGACACCATGAAGACCAAGGAGCTCTCCAAACAGGTCAGGAACAAAGTTGTGGAGAAGTACAGATCAGGGTTGGGTTATAAAAAAATATCAGAAACTTTGACCATCCCACGGAGCACCATTAAATCCATTATAAAAAATTGAAAGAATATGGCACAACAACAAACCTGCCAAGAGAGGGCCACCCACTAAAACTCACAGACCAGGCAAGGAGGGCATTAATCAGAGAGGCAACAAAGAGACCAAAGATAACCAGCTGCAAAGCTCCACAGCAGAGATTGGAGTCTCTGTCCATAGGACCACTTTAAGCCGTACACTCCACAGAGCTGGGCTTTACGGAAGAGTGGCCAGAAAAAAGACAGTGCTTAAAGAAAAAAATAAGCAAACACGTTTGGTGTTCGCCAAAAGGCATGTGGGAGACTCCACAAACATATGGAAGAAGGTGCTCTGGTCAGAATCAAATAAAATTGAGCTTTTTGGTCATCAAGGAAAACGCTATGTCTGGCGCAATCCCAAAACCTCTCATCACCCCGAGAACACCATCCCCACAGTGAAGCATGGTGGTGGCAGCATCATGCGGTGGGGATGTTTTTTCATCGGCAGGGACTGGGAAACTGGGCAGAATTGAAGGAACGATGGCTGGTGCTAAAAAAGGGAAATTCTTGAGGGAAACCTGTTTCAGTCTACCAGAGATTTGAGACTGGGATGGAGGTTCACCTTCCAGCAGGACAATGACCCTAAGCATTCTGCTAAAGCAACACTTGAGTGGTTTAAGGGGAAACATTTAAGTGTTTTGGAATGGCCTAGTCAAAGCCCAGACCTCATTCCAATTGAGAATCTGTGGTACGACTTAAAGATTGCTGTACACAAGCGGAACCCATCCAATTTGAAGGAGCTGGAGCAGTTTTGCCTTTAAGAATGGGCAAACATCCCAGTGGCTAGATGTGCCAAGCTTATAGAGAATAAACCAAGAGTCTTGCAGCGTGTTGCTGCAAAGTGGCTCTACAAAAGTTTTGGACTTTCGGGGGTGAATAGTTAGGCACGCTAAAGTTTTCTGTTTTTTGGTCTTATTTTTGTTTGTTTCAAAATAACAAATATTTGCATCTTCAAAGTGGTAGGCATGTTGTGTAAATCAATGATACAAACCCCCCAAAAATCAATTTTTATTCCAGGTTGTTAAGCAACAAAATTGGAAAAATGCCAACGGGGATGAATACTTTCGCAAGCCAATGTAGCGTACTTATCGACAAACTTTCTCATCAGGGTCTTCCACAAATTTGGGGAGATCTAACATGTATGTGGACTACGCTAGCCTGGTACTCCCCCCCAGGACAGATTAGAGATTGGGCCCACTGAGGTTTCTGCATCAAATAAATATATTGTATTCATCACATACACAGTTTACAGCTAGTAAAAAAGGGTTTGCAGCGAAATGCTTATGTGCTAGCTCCCTCAACAATGCAGTACCGTGCTGATATACCGTGTGTTATAGGGAATAATGCACGCTCTAGAATGCCCTTCAAGCCTATCAGAATTGATTATTCAACAATGCCATGGTATATTCAACAATAACATTATGATGTATTTACATTACACAGTATAATCAAAAATGTCCATATGGCAGCCATGTTTACTCCCGATGGGCAATATTGACCAATAGCTGTGTAACTGAAAGTCTACAATTAGAATTTGAATCCACATACTTGTCATGAATGGATAAATAGAATGCTCAAAGGCGTCCGTTCTAAAAGTTAGCCCAACTCTCTATGTACAGTATATAGCTCTGCTCCAGCCTGTACAATTAATCCTTGACATCATCAATGGGCATGATCAGATCACTCATGAATGCTTTTTTGACAAATCTTTCAAACATGAATTGTTGTGGCAGGGTTGCTTTATGGTAAGTTGCATTTTTGGTACCAATCCAACTCTGAAGTCTATATGTTCAACTTGCTGAGCCTTGGTTGCCGTTTGGCAATATTTTGGTTGCCTTGTGGCCATCTCATCACTTCGGGCCCACACTCTCCCTCCCACCTCACCTCTCTCAGCTCTTTCACCTCTCTCACCTCTCTCACAGATTGTGGTGCAAAGACTGGCTGACCAGGTGCCCATGCTGATCCGTTACTTCATCCTCAAGCAGTCAGCCAAGATTGTGTGCAGTGAAATGCTGGAACTGCTACACAGAGACGACACTGATAACATCCTACAGGAGAACTTGGAGATCGGACAGTATCGTGCAAAGTTGCAGGCCCAAGTGGAACGCCTTTTACTGGCCAATGAAAAAGTCAGCAGCCTCTGAGAGGGTGACGTCTAGACAGTTACAAAATTCAGAGATGTTGCCAAAAACAGAAACAGTTTAATTAACTGCTGGATCAGTGTCCCAATATCGGGACAGTTGCTGCTCAATATGCAATATTTGACTAGAATGGCGTTGTTAACAACAGCCAACTTTCTGGGACATAGACATGTCTTATATCGTCAGAAAGCTTAAATTATTGTTAATCTAACTGCAGTGTCCAATTTACAGTAGCTATTACAGTGGAAAAATACCATGCTATTGTTTAGGATAGTGCACAACAACAAAACACTTTTATCAAGACAACTGGTTTGATGTACTTACATTCGGTAATCTTGCTCTGAGTTGTCATCCTGAGGGTCCCAGAGATAAAATGTAGTGTAGTTTGGTTTATGAAATCAATTTTTATATCCTAACACGATCCATGTTTTATATATAGCGTTTTGCATGAATTCCGACTCTTTCAACTTGCAACAAAACAATTTATGAAATCTAACCTGGTCAAGTTTGAGTGTCTTATTGCCTATTGGTCCACATATTTCATTATAGTGATTGTGTTCCCCATACTCTATATAATATATACATGTTTAGAAATATGTGTTGTGTATTTAATGTATTGATGCAGTGCTCATCCATAAAAGTATTTTACCACCGGGTAAAATAAAGGTGAAATAAAATAAGTAATAGTTAACTTGAGTTCTAACTCAATTTTTTTAAATCCTCAATAGTGGTAGAGAGTCAGATGACCTCTGGGAGCAAACACCAAAGAGACTAAATTCAAGTCCTCCATCCCCCAACTCATTTAAACGTAGGAACTGGTTCCTCCAGTCTGACCCCTCTGAGGGACACCTGGGAGACTCCATTCAAAATAGTGTGTAGCTCTCTCGTTCTTTCATGTATCAGTCTGAAACTTTGCACACACACTGTTGCCCTCTTGTCGACAACATCTGAATTACCTCCAGCTTCCTATCTCAATGTATGGCCTTGCCTTTTCTTGTCAAAGATGATTCAACAAAAATAAAAATAGAAAACGTTTTTTAATTTTTTTAAAAGTATTTTACCAGATCTAATGTGTTATATTCTCCTACATTAATTTCACATTTCCACAAACTTCAAAGTGTTTCCTTTCAAATGGTATCAAGAATATGCATATCCTTGCTTCAGGTCCTGAGCTACAGGCAGTTAGATTTGGGTATGTCATTTTAGACAGAAATTGAGATGAAGGGTCCTATCCTCAAGAAGTTTTAATAGGAGGATAACCAGATTTTTGGAAAGGGCACTAATGGCCAAATGCAATTTATTTTAAATGATGATGTGTAAAATAAGCTGTATTTTGTATATTTTTATTCAATAAATGTATAAGATCGGCTAAGATCAGTGAGATGTTATGTCTGCTGTTCAGACGACCCCAGTGAAATCCTACAGGAGGAACCAGAGGGCGGCCAGAAACGCAAAAGGTTGCAGTACCAAGCGGATCACCTTGGACTGGCCAATGGCAAGACTAGTAGACTGTGGTTGACAATTTGTCAATGCAGAAATTCTGAGATGTAGCCAACAAAGACTACAATAATTATACCTACATTTGATCTCAGCATTCAGAAACATTGTAAATGATGGTCATCTCTACATTTTAGAGTTGTCAAAATTGTGATTCAGAGAAAACGATGTGACGGTTGTATCATCACATATCTTCAATGTGGAGTGTTATTATGTTTTCATCTCATAATGTACTAATGAAATATGTGAAGATGGTTGATATTATTATTTAAAGTGACAAATGAAATAAAGGTTGAATCCATTTTCTTATTGGTCAGAGCGCATCAATGTAGAGAAACACTATAGGATGGCATTATAACGGACTTGATGCCAGTTTTGATAAAAAGTGAATAACAACCGTGATAATGTCAGGTCCCTCTTTAAAACTGGAATGGTTTAGTTATAAATGATGTTTAAGGAGATTTGAAGGAGACAAAGACCTATTCTAAAGAGATATTAAACAGAGAAGACCATAGCAGACCTTTACACAACCCTATGTCTTTATTTGGACAAAGAGATATTAAACAGAGAAGACCATAGCAGACCTTTACACAGCCCTACGTCTTTATTTGGACATTGAAGCTAAATTGTGTACATTTGGCCCCCAATTCTTTTTTTCCACCATGTCAAATTAATGTATTTTGTTAGATGTTTCATGACGCTTGTCTCTAAACCAAAATAGATCATTTTAAGATTGTTCCCGATCTAACATCTCTGGAGAGACCTGAAAATAGCTGTGCAGCAACGCTCCCCATCCAACCGGAAAAAGTGGATCTGCAGAGAAGAATGGGAGAAAGTCCCCAAATACAGGTGTGCGAAGCTTGTAGCGTCATACCCAAGAAGACTCGAGGCTGTAATCGCTTCCAAACATGCTTCAACAAAGTAAAGTGTCTGAATACTTATGTAAATGTGATATTTTGTTTTTCTAATTTTAATACATTAGCAAAAATTTCTCAAAAACCGTTTTTGCTTTGTCATTATGGGGTATTGTGTGTAGATTGATGAGGGGGGGAGGGGGGGGAACAATTTAATCCGTTTTAGAAAAGGCTGTAACGCAGGGTTCTTCAATTCCGGACCTGGAGGGCCGAAACACTTCTGTTTTTTATTTATACCTGGTAGTTAATTGCACTCACCTGGTGTCCCAGGTCTGAATTAGCCCCTGATTAGAAGGAGAGGATGAAAAACAGAGGTGTTTCAGCCCTCCAGGACCGGAATTGAAGAACCCTGCTGTAACGTAACAAATTCAAGGGGGTCTCAATACATTCCGAATGCATTCGGACTGTATTATAAGTGTGTCACTAATATAAATACCTGAGAAAACTATAAATCTACACTGAGCTGTATAGGTGTGTATTCTGGGGCCAATCTAAGAAAAGGCTTCATTTGAATCCAGCTATCTCTATACCTATTATCAGAGGGAGGGGGACCTCTATCCATGATCTTGACCAGATAGACAGAACACCTGCAGATGATGGAGAACCTTATAACTCTCCAGAGCTGTAACCAGGGTTTGAGTTTTACTGAGGTCTGGAAGGACATTGATTTACGGCATTTCTATTCAATAAAAACACATTTAAATGCTATTTGTAGAACGGCAAAAACAAGCAAAAATGACCCCAGCCATTATGACCGTGGCTGCTGTAGGTTCATGCACCTCAGTCCATCTACAAACACCTAGCCTATTAGCTATACAATTGTAATGATATACTCCTGAAAGGGGGAAATCTGATAAATTATTCACACTGATATGTAGGATCAACGACGAAACGAAAACGTAGGACATTTTTACAACTGTATTGTTTGCATTTTGATTGCATTTTAATGACGGCCTACAGGGAAGGTAGGACCTGTGGAGATGTTCATATCGAAACATATCTTCTTTTTTTATTTTTATTTTTTTTATTTTTTTAGAAGATTAGTACAGATTTTCTCAGGGGACCCTAAATGGGCACCGATCCCAAGTTTGGGAACCACTGTACTAACCACTCCCTCTGCTTGCTTACTTGTGGTCCTCTGTAGCTCAGCTGGTAGAGCACGGCGCTTATAACGCCAAGGTAGTGGGTTCGATCCCCGGGACCACCCATACACAACAAAAAATGTATGCACGCATGACTGTAAGTTGCTTTGGATAAAAGCGTCTGTGTAGTGTATTAGGATTATGCCTTTGTTAATGGTTTTTCATGAAGAAATGGAATGTTGTTTATGTTAGTTCAAAAGTAGCCAGTTGTAGGGTGTCGCCCCAGGGGAGACAGGTGATTGGACGGCAGAGGGAGCAACCCATATTTTTACATTGTTTATAAGTATATGCTGGAGGCACAGGAAAGCAGAGCGACCATTGCAATCTGAGGCGTCGCTCTCCGGGTGGGCATGTCACCTGTAACTCATGCTGAAAGCTTGTGATATGAATAAACTTATGATCAAAGGTTCAGTATGAGCGGACTCCTTTGTTTATCAGCAATAATTGCCAGCATTTACTCGATACGACAAATGGCGCCCAACGTGGGGCTTTCTGCAAATGTTCTTTGATTCATTCGTGGCCGCCAAGCTAACTCGTTCTGAAGTCATGGCCAGACAAGGGTGAGTTTTTCTTACCGCTTTGGAGGTTGTTAGTTTGGATACTACTTGTGTACACTGGAGAAATGTACCATTAGGACCGAAATGTGCCTTGTGTGGCGTTATTGCTGAGAACTAGGGGTCTGGCTAATCATTATCAATTGTTGCACTGGTAGACAGGGCAAAAGGGGGGAGAGTAGGCTTGGAATTTTAGAGCAATCGATGGTAGGGATTAAGGCAGATATTGGCAGATGTACAAGGCAGAGATACGTATACATTAGGGCACTGCACCATTTAAGACCCCGGGGTGGGCCATCTAGGAATGGGCCGAAAATCCGTTTGCGCGTTAAAATGTGCATTCGGTGTGTTCTAAAGAACTCGGGTTGATGAGATTTATCTGATTGTGATTATTGCTCCTCTTTCATCCGACGGGGTGTCTGCTTGGGGGTAATCTCTCAGTGGATGGTCATTGAACCCACGGCATCACAAACGGTAGGAAAATAGACAAAGGAAAAAGGGCAGTGAAAGGTACCTGTTGCGTGGTGCCAGCCACAGGTTAGCTAAAGGCTAATGCTAATGCTGATGCTAAATGCTGGTTTTGTTTCATGCCACATTGTACATAAAGGCTAAGGCTAAATGCTAAATGCTAAATGCTTATTGTGTGCGTGCTACATGCTAACGGGTGACCTTAGGGGGGCCATTGCGATGGAATAAGCCTCTTAAATTATGTTTGTGTGTAGAATTCAGAGTTCTATGCAATTGTGAGCTCTGTTAAGTGTTATTGTTTGACTATAAGTGTAAAAAAGAGAGGCTGTGGTAGAATGCTGGCGTTCTATTGTTTGAGAAAGTATTTTTGAATGTATCGCGCATGCGTGGGATTTTACTAGACTACAACATGTTGGTTGCTAAAA